ATGGTCATGGTTTCACAGTTGAAACTATGGTTATGTCTATCCATATCAGTGGTGGGTTGCTACCAGTTTGCCCTGGATCAGGCGAACCAGTAGCGGTGGTGGCGGGAGGCTCCATCCACCCACCCGGACGTCTCTGTGTCATTGCGCATGCAAGCACATGCGCCTCTCCAAGCAAACCGGTAGCGACAGGATTTGAATCCCATTACTGGTCCATATCTTGTGAAATTAGGGAGTTTTCATCATGTCTTTTGACTGATATCATGGCTGCATTCTGCCAGTTGTCTGCCCTCTTTGACCTCCATAACAGCTGTTGCAGTTATTACATTGTATGTTGTAGATGACTCCTGATTTTTCTTCTAGGGCTCCTGGGTCTTTTGGTTTATTTAGGATGTTTTGGAGGGCTTTAGTTGGCTTGTGTGCTACACTGATTCCATGTGGTTGTAATAGTCTGTTCATGGTTTCTGAATAATGAGGCTTTCAAACCTGATATCAGCTGTTGAAGTAGGCAAGATCAAAAAACAAACACCACAAGAACCATTTGATGTCATAGGATAATAACAGAATCTTGAAAACCTGACAAGAGAATCATCACAGGATAATCCAGAGTTTCTTTTTTAACTTGTCACCCTCTCTTTCAGGGCTCCATTCATATTTATGTAATCACTTGTGTATTCCTTCTTCAAGGTTATTGATATACAGCTCTGCAGCAGATTAGAAGTGAAATGGTAGATTGTTGCATTTTATTTGGATGGTTGAGTTATACATTATACACATACACATCCTTTATTCAAAAGGATGACACATTTGAGCAGGATTTAAAATTTAACAGTTCCTTTATTATATTCTCCCCTAATAAATGCTCTTTCCATTTTAACAATAAGGTATTTGAGGAAGAATTCCTCTTTTTAGGTGACTATTGTGTATACTGGTAGGTATACCTCTTAATATGAAAGAAATGTGGAAAATACACCTTGCTGTTGTGATGACAGGATTGGGCAGTTTTTCCTGCCATGGCGTTAGCCCGTATGATTCCGTAAGCAATTTGACAGTTAGTTGAATAATATTTATTACATTTAAAAGTTGCTAAATGCAAGTAGTATTTTGTAATAAGGTGCCCTCAGTTTTCCATAATTTTGTTTCAGATATTTTCATTTGTTTATTCTGTATGTATCACACTTTTACACATTATTCAGATTGTCTTTTAACATATCTGCAACTCCCTGTGGTATAAATTAGATTAACAATTATTCCTTTTAAGATTGTTATTGAGCTTCCATCGTTGATTACAGAAAGTTTTCAAACAACATGCAATAGGCAAGAAGAATACAAGTATAGGTAGTGCTTGATTATAACAGTAATGAAGCTCAAAAATAAGTTTTGATGGTCATATGTTGAGGCACCCATGTGACCGGACCTGATTTTATGACTTTTGGCAGTAGCTATTAAGTGAACGTGGTGGTTATAAGCAAATCAATGTATCCGTATGGGCTGGAAACTGGCAAAAAACCATCATGAACATTGTTATGTGGATGCAGAAATGCTGCATCCGGTCATAAAGGTGAGCTGGTTGCTAAGTGCCTGAGATTTAGTCACAGGAGGTCACAGGAGGTGTGCAGTCATCAGAACTCTGGAGTCATAATTAGCATGGTGGGGTGCGCATCATAACTTCAAGCAGCCTCTAAGTGACTGGTTGTTAAGCAATGACTACCTGTATTAAGTTGCTTTTCTGTAAGGAAAGCAGAGCACTATGAAATCATGTAATATGTCAATGAGAAATAAGTGATCGGGATCCCTTTGAGCAGAGTTCCAAACCCGCAGGCCATGGACCACGTACACCCCATAACATTCTTGGATGTGGAACAAACCACCTTAAAATTAAGTTTAATGTGTATTTTAAATACATTATTTAATGTAAACTGGATTAAAATATATTTCACAAACATTTAACTAAATAAAATAAAAAATATATAATAAAACATAGATAATACTGCATTTTAAAACTAAATAATAACTTTAGTCATTGGTCAGAAAAACTCAGAGCTCGTGACTTGTGAGGAGTCCTGCACAAGTTACCACCTCAGTCTAACTGCAGCAATGAGGAATGCTTGGCCCTGCCCTGGCACAAGCCACGCAAGAGCACCACTTGACAGCTGGTTTCACTCAGTCTGCCTTCCAGCAGCCTCAAGCACCCTAGGCAGCTGCAACTGAGTCAAGGCTGCCAGCTTCTGTCTCTTCCCTGTACTGGGAACTGACTTATTCCCAATCCAATCGCCTCCAGTGCACAAAAGTGTGCTTCTTTCTACAAAATAGACCAAATTAATTTCTCTCTTTCCTTCAAAACAGGTTCAATTTCCTCCCTCTCTTCAAAATAGGTTGAATTCATTTCCTTCTTCCTTTAAAAAAAAAAAGCTTTAATAATTAATATTCTTTGAGCTTCAGGCTGCAACATGACTGTTGTTAACCTTATAAAACATTCAATTTTAAAATTAATAATAATTAAAGTTTTAAAAGGTTGAGAATACATTCAGAGAAGAAGGAGAGAATGGACAAAAATAAAGAGAGAGCACAGCCTATGAGTATGTACTCATGGATAAAATGACCATTCATGGATAAGGTGACCCTTGAAGTTTGTGTATGTTTTAATTTTCACAATTGGCTTATCTGTGGATGACACGTTGGTTAAAAATTTGAAGGTCAGTTTATCTGCAGATGGGTTTATCCAGGGGTTCTCAACCCCCAGTCTGCAGACTGGTACCGGTCCAAGGCCCATTGGGAACAGGCTGTGCAAGTGGTGGGTAAGTGTGCACAGCTTTATCTGTGCATGCGTGGAAACTAGATTGCATGCGCAAAACCATCTTCTCCCCTCCCCACTGCCACCACCGCTGCTGTTGGTCTGTAAAACCAGAAAAGTTGGGGACCGCTTGGTTTATACAGGTACTTTTAAAAAGGGAACAAAAAAGTATCCTATATAATTGTCTGTAAGCCCATCTGTGGATAAACAAACCCAATGTTTTTTAGCATTTAAGTTGTCAGTTTATCTATGAGTATATACAATAAATGCTTTTTGTATAATACTTTTTTTTTCTAAATTTTTTTTCTTTATAATATCAAATTAAAAGAAAAATAATTTTTGTTAAAAGCTTGGAATTATTGATTGCAGTTATCAGCAATTAATACATTTATATGTATAATTTGTTGGCAGATATGCATGGAGCCAGTTTGGTATTGTGGTGAAAGTGTCAGACTAGAAACTAGGGGTTGGTGTTTTTGAGTCCTACCTTAGCCATGAACCTTGGAGCAATTCCTTGGAGCAATTCCTCTCTCTCAGCCTGGGGAAGAAAAAACTGCCAAGTCATTTCTGAAAAAAAGACAGGCTAGAAAAGTGGAGAGGGCAATTTCCAGGAGTCCAACATTACTTAAAATCACAACTTTCAAGCACATATAGTACGTTCCATACTGTGTATATTTCCTAGTTTTGATATTTTAAGTATTTAAATATAAATATTTGAACATATTACTATTGTATATATTTACAATTTACTCATATTCTTATATCATGATACACAAAGTTGTACAGTACTTGGTTCAAGAAAAGCTGCACAAAACAATTTTTCCCCACTCTTAGATTATCAGAAATTAGCGGGAATATTGCATGGAGGTGGGATAGGAGTTGAGGGGCTGGTCCCCATGATAAACTTATGCAAGTTTTAGTGGCTCTCATTTCTCTCTCAGTTTAACACCAATGCCTTAGAGAGATAGATGAAGTTTCTACTCCTTCCCTTGGTTAACATCAGTGGTGGGTTGCTACCAGTTTGCTCTCGATCGGGTGAACCAGTAGTGGTGATGGTGGGAAACTCCATCCACCTGCCCGGAAGCCTCTGCACATGTGCAAAAGCATCACACGCCTACAAGCGAACCAATAGCGGACAAAATTGAAACCCACTACTGGTTAACATTACTGGTTTCCTGCAATGAGAAATCAGCATTGGTGACCCAAATAGGAGAAGCTTACTTGTCTTCAAGTTTCTCTGCACAACTTTGTTCTTGGTCATTGGGAAGTGGAGTGAACTTGGCTTCCTCTGTTCTTTCCAGTGGTTTGGTTAAAACTGCTAGATTCCCTTTGCAAGAAACATGTTTTTTGTAAGCAGACTATTAAGAGACATTCATTTTATATATATATAAATATTTTTTTAAAATATTCATTTTTTCAGTTCAGGAGAGCGGCATATGTGAGGAAGGGGGAGGGAGGGGAGGAGAGAGAGAGAATTATATATATGTGCAGTCCCCAAAGCTACAAATATTATCCACCATTGTTTTTAAGCAATTATATGTAATAATATTTTTAAGATTACTTTGTCAGAAATTCTATGACATGCCTTGAGTCAAGATATTTTATTTCACAACTAACATGGAGCTTTGTGGGAGTCATCCAAAGAATTTTGTGTATTCTACCACCAATAGCCTCCCACCGGCCGATACGCTCCCATAGAGAGGGGCTCCTCCGGGTGCCATCAGCCAAACAATGCCGACTGGCGGCCCCCAGGGGGAGAGCCTTCTCTGTGGGGGCACCTACTATCTGGAACGAGCTTCCCCCAGAGATACGGAGGATCCCGGATCTGCGCACCTTCCGCCGCGCCTTAAAGACCTTACTATTTCACCAGGCCGGCCTGGCCTAATTGTCCCCCTCTTTTATAAAAGATTTTTAAAATTTTAAATATCTTTTAGTATTTTATATATTCAATTTTAAATTGGTTTTAAAAGTTTGGGGTTTTAAATTTGTCGGGGCCAAAATTATTTAATTTGATTTTATTCTATTTTTTAAATTTTGTATTGTATGTGTTTTTATTGTTTGGCTGTGCACCGCCCTGAGTCCTTCGGGAGTAGGGCGGTATAGAAATCTAATAAAATGAAATGAAAATGAAATGAAATTTATTGCTTCTCATTCAAAGGCATCACTAATTAGGATTACTCTTCATTAAAACTATTTTATCTTTTCACAGGCTGGAACTAATGGATACATGGCTCCTGAAATCTTAAAGGACGAAAGTTACAGTTATCCTGTAGATTGGTTTTCTATGGGGTGCAGTATTTATGAAATGATTGCTGGTCGAACACCATTCAAGGATTACAAAGAAAAGGTTGAAAAAGATGAAGTTAAAAAAAGAACCATAAATGACGAAGTGCAGTTTCAGCATGCTAATTTTGATGAACCAACAAAAGAAATCTGCAAACTCTTCTTGGTAAAGAATCCTGAAAATCGTTTAGGAAGCAGGTATCATTTTCCCCTCTTTTGATTGAATGGTACTGCCATAATTTTTTAAGGAACTGAAGTTCAAATGTCAATACTGTAGAATTTTCTAAGACTGCTAAAGCTACAGAGCGAAGATCTGTCTGGGTGCAAAGATAATCTAATCACAGTAATCCCCTTCTCCCTGGTTGGATTACTGCAAGGCATTGTCCACAGCTGCCCTTGAAGGTTCCTGGACAGCTTCCATTATGCAGAATTTTGTAGTCAGGATTTTACCTGCTATAGACAATTTTGTTCACTTTACCCCAGTGAGCTGGTTGATTCTTGGCTTCCAGATTCATTCCAGGTTTTGATATTTATTTCAAAATCATAAATGCCACTACTTTCTATTACTCCTAAAAGTGTCTCTTCTCATATTGGTCTTTCCATATCTTAAATTTTGTTCAAGTTCCTGACAGCCTATGGATTAGCAGAAATTTCTGCAAAACCTGAAGTAAGTCTTGACCATTGACTGAATCTGCACCTCTAAGCCAACTGTTAAAACCTGCCTGCCCCAGGCCTAGTTAAGGAGAATAATTGATGGATATTTTCCGACTAGCAAATGCTTCTTGAGAAGGGAGGGAAGCAAGAGGAATCTATTAGTTCATTTCCTTAACATGACCCATGCACAATAAAGAGCAGCACCATTTGGTTGTGTCATTCCTGTTACAATAGGGGTCCCCAATCCCCGGTCTGTGGACCAGCACTGGTCAGCAGCATGCCAGCAACTGGGCCGCACAAACAAGCAAAGCCCCATCCATGGGATGAAGGCAGCACCATGCCTCCTCCATCCAGGGAAAAAACTCTCTTCATGGAACCAGTCCCTGGTGCCCAAAAGGTTGGGGCCTGCTGTGTTACAGGATAGGGATCCACAGTGGCAGCAGCACATTTTATGCCATTCTGCTTTTTGTGTGTGTGTGTGTGTGTGCCTCATCATGTATTGGTGAATAGCATTTTACTGAATTTTGGGGAAGAGCTGCTAGAGAACACATAGGAGGATTTGAGAAAATAGTGTTGCTTGGTTCTTGTTGAATATGGACCTGGAGAGACCCGAGTTTCAGTTCCCCCATTGAACCACAGAGTTTATTGAATAATTTGGGGTCAATTTTTCAGTCCTAGTTCCATTTCTCACAGGGGTTCTTGTGATAAAATATGATAAAATATCTCCCACAAGTGCCTGCCTGTCCTGAGTTCCCAAATGAAAGGACAGTAGGTAAATACAATGAATAAACAAATGCCATATTATGGTGAAAATGATTTGAAGAACCATAATCTCAAGTATGACATTCTAAAGCAATTTGGCTTGGGGAAAAATAAAAATATTGAAAAAGAAGTACATTGCTTTTGGATATATAATGTTAAGTAATTTCACAGTACCAAAGTCTGCTATTAAAATCACACAGTCAGGGAAGGCAAGATCTTGATCTTTGTGCACTAGTCACAAAGGATTCTGTCATCATATGCAATTTAAACTTTGGTTAAAGTTGAGCAGAACATTAGGATTGGAAGAAGAATTCTTAGGAAAGAAAGGTGGCTCGATTCAAGTATTCTTTTTATAAATGAAAACAGTAGCTGTGCTAAACATGGTTACTAGGTATAAATCTGTAGAGATTATAGCCTGCATGCCAAACTGCAGATTCACAGTTCATTTCCTCACAACTGAGACATGAGTCTTGGCTATGTATAAATAGTCAGAGACTCCAACCCTCTCTCTGTGGGATATAGATAAGATTTGGAAAAGGGCTAGTTTCCATCAAAGAAGCTGAAGAAATCCAGGAACACTGAGACAGAGGAGTATTTGTTCCGTAGAAATTATAGTATAACTAGGAATTAGATTTTACTTTCTGTTTTCTGCATTGTATGAAGTTCCGTGTCCTTTACCTCACTGAACAAGTTACGAAATTGGGTGTTTTAGTTTTCAGACATATTTCAGGCTGTGTTACTAAGAATATTTATTTTCTTTAGAATTTATTGTGATGTTTAATAATAGTTTGAAACCTCCTCCTATAAAATTTGGGAAGAAGGCTCTTTATCTGAGGGAATTTCATCTTCTGGCTTTTTTTCCCCCTTCTTTTTTTGTGTTGTTTGCATTGTTTATGTTTTTATCATAGTTGCTAGCCACACAAGAGTTGTGTGCCACAAAATGGGCAACCTTATGTATCTTTTAAATAAATAAATATATTTATAGCAGAACAGATAAGGCTTGCCCTGAAGGCTGGTGGTGGCAGCAGTACTAAGCTGCTACTTCAAAGCAGGAGATAAATCACGATTTTGATTCTCATTTTCATTCTGCAGGCCTGCCCTACTACAAAGCAATGTTAAACTAAAAAGAGCTTTGGGTTTTTTTGTGATGCCAATTTAACAATAATGGATAAGAATTGTGAGAAGGGGGACAATTATACTTTTCAAACATGCATATTGCATGTTGGGTGCTTTGGTTATGAAATAAATGAAATAAGTATCAATATTTGGTGTCAGATGTTCACTCAGGTATTTCATTGGACTTCTATCAAGCTCTGATAACAGTGGTTTTAAAACTATGCAAAAATCCAGACAATCCAAAGAGGATTTTCATAGAACAGTAGAGAAGTTTTTAAGAGTGATGGTAGACTGCTTCAAATGCCAAATAAAATGGCTTATAAATATTTAAATAAATATATTCTGCTTGAAGGGCAACATTTTTCATATAAATAAAAAGTTTATTCAGTCAGAGATATAATAATATATTTATGGTTACATTATTGTGTCTAAAAAATTAATATTCGGTATACCAGCATTTCATAAATCTATGCCTTCTACACTGTGTAGGATACCTCTCCCAGCTCACTGGTCAATATCAGGTACGGTAAAAGTTAATTTTAATTTAATTTTAAAAGCCCCCTAAAATGTAAACTAGAAAATAAAAATTTAAAATGAAATAAGAAATCCATATACAATAAATTATGTTTGAAACCACTGTAAACTATAATCAAATCGTAAAAGTCCTGAATAAAAAGCAATGTAAAAGTCCTAGAAATAAATAAAATTAAAAGTTGGAAAAAGATATAGCTAATATATTAACTTTTAAAAAATTGTACAAGGAAAACATGGGACATTGTTATGAATAAGGCAGCCAAACACCATCTCTGATGAAGGAACTTTAAAACACAAGGAAGTATCAATCTAAAGAAAAAAAGAATACATTTTTAATACCTGTTTTTAATGCCACCCTATATGGGAAAATATTCCCAATTACTCAATAAAAGGACAGAGATACATTTTAATGCCTGCATGTTTTAGATTCTTTACCTTTTGCTCCAGTTCATTTAATGTTGTATTAACTTCTAAAGGATCGGGGAATTGACTTGCAATAATTATTTGTGCAGATGTTTTTCATGCTGCTGTTGATACTGCCAAATGTGCTGCTTTAGCATTCTTTACCAGTTGTGATCTTTCCATGTCATGGCAAGGAGGTTTTGTTTAGCTCCTAAACTGACTTTCAAAGCCAATGTTTGGAGCAATTGATGCAAGCTATAATGAAACACAAGAAAACGCCAGAATTAAAATGCTGATTGAAAATACTAACTGAAAAGCACAGATCTCTTAATTACCATAATTAATAATTTGAACTGGGCTATTTATTTATCTGTTAAATTTATATTCTTCTTCCTTGCCAAAAATCACACTCAGCACGGTTAACAAGCAAAATACAGATGAAAATATTATGTTTATGGGTAAAATATTAAAATAAATACAGTGAAACTATGATTGAACGCATTAATTAAAAAATAAACAGACTTCTCAATTAAAAATCAACAAGCAATGCCAGACATTTCTTGAGGTATGCAGAAGATAACAGAAAGAAAGAAAAGGCTTGGCATCTTCTGGCTTGAATTCCATGAGAACGTGCTCTGTCTTATTCTTACAAAATGTTGGTCCCAAACAGAAAATTTTATGGGAACCTTAAATCCTGCTTACAGGAGATCTGCTTGGGTGTTAATGAGTTAACACCCGAAGTAAATAGAGTATACACTTTTTTTTCATTTTGTCCAAAAACAGTCTGATAGCCACAAGTGTTATATAGCATCTATTGAACTTCATCAATGGCATGCTTGTCTGTCATTTGCTTTTTACTGCCCCTATATGTAAGATCCTGTGATTGGGGGTGGGGAGCACATTCATTGCATATTGGAGACAGCAGAAAACCTGTCTATGGTCGCTAACTAGAGATATTGTTCAAGAACAACTTTATAAAGATTAACTTAAGATTCTGGTAAGGTCATTCAGCCCTTGGGTTATCTGTTTTAAGTATGCATTGCATAAGTTAAAGCTTCTTATAGGCAGCTTTAATTTGCACACTTGACCCTCTAAAAAGGTTCTGATTAACAGCAAACATCAACAATCCAAGGGTCATAAGAGGTGAACTATTTCATCTCTTAAAGGTCCAATTATGTAAGTTTTGTAGAACTAGATTTTCCACCAGGGCCATACAAAAAGAAACAGATCACTAACCAGAAAGAAGCAGAAAAATATTTTATTTCCTTTTCTCATGTGTATGAAGAAAACCATATATATAGGAGCTGGAATCTAATATTAACAAATTAATCCATGAAGAATTGGATTCCACTTTTCAAAATTAATTTACAAACACAGTGTGACAGCTAAAACAACAAATGAGACCAATTAAACAATGGTTTCCAGCAGATTATTTAGACAATATCTGGAAGGCTAAATGCAATCAGTAAGTATTTGTTAGTTTCTGAGAAACAGATTATATTAGGCCCATTATACTGTCCAAAGAAAAGTATTATTTGGGGGGGGGGGGGGCAGGCATTGAGTAGGCTATGTTCCAAGAAGATGCAGAGATGTAGCATTTGAAAAAGATTGTGTGAATCTCTTGCAGAAGATATTCCCTAAATATTTTTGCTAATATTGGGAAATATTGGACTATTAATATTGCTAAGTGGGCTAAAAAAGACAAACATAATTATACATACTATGACTTAGTTTATCTGCAGATCAACTTCCATATACATAGTTCTCCCAACTATATATCTAATTGACATATTAGAGAGATCCAGTGCTTGCCGACCCACAACACTTATCTCCCAAACATCTCCAGAAATGATTGTTAAGTAAACTTTTTGCATCTGTATTGAAGAAAGTTGGAAGTTATTCTTTATTTCTTTTCATTTTTCTTTGTTCCTTTGCACTTTTCCTTCCCCTATCTTTTTCCTTGTAAATAATGTTTTTTTTATTTTGCAGAACTGTAATAAAATATATATTTTATTTTAGCCAAAGAACAGCTGAACAGACTTTAATACATTCATTTTCTAACCACTCTTTTTTTTTTTTTTTTTTTAGAAAACATACAATGTATTCATGATAAAGTTAAATAACTGGATTAAGTTCATCCAGAGTTTGATGTTTTTATGAACAGATCCATGTCGTTTTCTTGGCCTGATGTGAATGCACCTGAGATTTTTTTTTAAAGAAAGTGTAATTTTCTAGAAGCTGGTGTTCTAGAAAATATAGTTTCAATCGTTTTCTCATAGTTGGTCATGATAATTAGAAGTAATATGAAAAGATAGTTACAGTGCTAGTGAAATGGTAAAAAGTGCTTGAGGATTTCTTTTCAAAATATTTACCAATATGCATTTTTATTAAATAAAAGTATAAAATAAATCTGATCATTAATCTAGCAAATGAATTAAACATTGAAGCTTATTTATCGGCTAGTTCAGTAGGTGATCAAGCCAATTATGGTTTATTTAGCAAACTGAGATTAAATAAATTGTAGCTTAGTAGGCATGAGTGAATTCGGAATTAGACTTCTCAGACTGTTTAAATCTGTTTCTGGTAGAGGTCTATCAGAACTCTAACAAATGTTAACAGATAAACATTATCTAGCTATACTCTCCTTCATCGTGTTGTTAGGTGACTCTTGTACATGCGTGCAAAGGCCTAGTGGTGGTGCTCAAATGTCAGTTTCTAGAAAGGGAGAAAGTGATGGCCTTTGAGTTTCCTTTAAGAATTATTCCCTAACATAGCCTGCTGGCACACAACTCACAAAAAATATCAATAGCCTTGGCTGTCTGAACTAGAGTACCTGTGGGTTATGAAATAGGAAGCCAAGATTTTATAGCTGGGCACTGAATCTAATTTTAGCGATTATGTTTTTAATCACATCAGCATTACAAAAAGAAGGAATGCATAGAAATTTACACATTTTATTTTATTTTACAGGATTACGTTCACAGAAAATCATGTCTTTTAATACTACTCAGTGGCATGGTTTACTGCCTGTTTTAAAACACATTTTTCTCCACAAGTAATGAAATGCACATTTTTGAATAGCGTTCAGGATACATTCTCACCATCCTAGGTGAACAAATGAGCTTGTTTTAAATTAATTGAATTTATTTAATATAAGTGCTGTCCAACCCCAAATGAATCTCAGTCTCTCACAATGTAACAAGAAAAATTTTAAAACAAAAGAAGTAAGTTAAAAGCAGATAAAAAACAAGAGGACTGAATCTTACCAGTAATAAAACTCAGAAGAGGCTCTAACACCCCAGTCGAAAGCCTTGGAGAACCCTATCAGAATTGGAGCTACACAATAGAAGCAAAGATAAAATAGGATGACAAAACGACATACAAAATGACCTGATGCATACCAACCCTTTTGGTTATCAGCTGTGCAAAAACCACAGGGACAAATAATTGGCCCCCATCCCATGTAGGGCTTTATTACTAGCACCTTGAATTGCACCAAGAAACTGATTGATAACTAGTGCAGCTCAAAGTTTCTTCAACAGGTCAACAATGATGCCAAATTTAACCTTCTTACCTATACATTGCTTTATTTTTATATATATAGTTTAATTCTTTTGAGATTATACCCACTAATACCCCAGTGGTTGAGGAAGATAAAAATTATAGTCCACAAGATTATAAATCAGAAATATTTTTGTTAGGCATAATACCTGAAAAGTATGATAAAGGGAACTTATATTTAATATTACATGTCTTGACAGCAGCAAGAATTGTATTTGCACAGTACTGGAAAAATGAGGAAAGGCCTACAGAGGATGATGTAATAATATTTTTAAAAATTGTGCAGAAATGGACAGACTGACATTAAAAATAAGAGAGAAAAAAGATATATGGGACTTGTTTTATAAATGGTTGGCCTGTAGAGGTAGAGATAGAAATTAGGAGTGGGAAAAGTATTATTGTATATAAATAAATTGATCCAGACAATACACTGTTCACTAAGCACATATGTATGTAATGTGAAAATATATAAATAAATTGTTAAAAAAGATTATAGTCCACAAATCACCAGTTGAGAGAAGGCTATTATATTTTTTCTTTAATGCTACTCAAGTTATTCACAGGGAAAGAAGGCTAACTAATGAACGCTAGACATTTTCAGCTAAAGGAGATCTATCAGAATGTTTTATATATATGGCCAAATTGATTAATGGCATATAAAGGCAGAGATCTCTGTAATGGTAGTTTAATACTCTGACGATGTCAGCAGATGGCTGACGAAAGTTTAGTAGAATAAAATTTTAATTATTTTAGTTCCAGAGCTCGCAGAATGTCTGCTTCTTTGTTTACAAATATACCTGGAACTTGTATTTTTAGAGTAGTTTGTTTTATATATATATATATATATATATATATATATATATATATATATATATATATATATGTATGTATGTATGTATGTATGTATGTATGTATGTATGTATGTATGTATGTATGTATATTTTTATATTTATATTTATATTTATATTTATATGTTATGTATGTATGTATGTATGTATGTATGTATGTATGTATGTACAAAAATGTATTTATTAAGTATTGTTGCCCAGAGAGCTATTAAAGCTTCTAATTTGGAAAGTAACAGAAGGCCTCAAACTTAATTAATTGACAAATCATTGATTATTTCTTTCCGATCCCACTGATAAACCCACTGGTATGATTAGTACATGCTTGAATATAAATCTGCTTTATAGGACTAGTTTCCTCTTATTTGAAACTCTTTTTTCTTGTTTTGTTACAGGAGTAATGATGATGATCCCAGGAAACATGAATACTTCAAGTCAATAAATTTTCACAGGCTGGAGGCAGGTCTTATTGATCCTCCCTTTGTGCCAGATCCATCAGTCGTCTATGCCAAAGATGTTGCAGACATTGCTGATTTTTCTGAAGCTCGAGGAATTGAGTTTGATGACAATGACATTGAATTCTTTAAGAGATTTTCTACTGGTGCTATCCCAATACCCTGGCAAGAAGAAGTTATTGAAACAGGACTCTTTGAAGACCTGAATAATCCCAACAGAATATCTGAAGTTGACTCCAAATCTGGAATTTGTTTACTCCTATAAATCTTAAATTAATAACATAAAAGGTGGGAATGCATAATTGAATCTTCCAAGATTTCAAAGGCTCAGAGAAGTTTAACGAGCTGTCACTGACATCATAAAGGCAAGCTGATTAATCTGTCCTTTTCCGTGCTGGAAATTTTATGACAAAACTTCAAGATTCTTTTATAATAGTGAAATAATTTAAGAACTTGTGATGGTTTCTGGACAAACATTCATAGCTATTAGGACAGAGCACTCCATTTGGGACTGCCACTCTTTTATTATAATTCCATAGTAACACACCTACCTTCTTTACAAAATGGACCCTATTCTTACAAAAAAGAATAAAATTCAAATTGATTTCAGTGATGTAGAGAACTCTGAACACTTATTTAACACAGAACTATTTACAAAAGAAGCATGCAATTCTTCAATTTCTTTTCCTTCAGGTGAAAATAAACACTGGTGGAGAAAAGTGGGAAGTTTACAAATAAAAGAGGAAAATATCTGGATCTCATATACAATGTTGTGAATAAGATGGCAATTATACAATAAAATTCTCATCTGGAAGAACTAGTTTATCTGCATTGTAGATTAAGCATTAATTTATCAAGGATATTTTTAAATACTGATTTCAGTTTCCTATCAGATTTCTTGATAGGATCTTTTCACATCGATGAAAACCATAGTTTAAATTAAACAAATTGACCGCACCAGTTTGTAACTGATGTTTAAGTAGACAAATACAAACGGAATAGAAATGTTTATTCAGTGAGCAGTGAATTTAATTCAATTTGTTAACAATGTTTACAAGTGCATTAAAACTTTGCAAAATAATAGTTATATATGTATAGCATAAATATAATCATCTGGTTCTTATAGAATGCTTTGTGAATGTCTCATATCCAAAATCCACTTTTGACATTGTGAAATTAGCTTGTTCAGACCAAAGAATGTGCACTAAAAATGTAGGAATTCTTCATTGAGTGTAAGCTATCACTTACACAAATAGCTTGCCTGAGAGTCAATTTCCATGTTTGCACTAGAAATTATTTATACAAGGAAAAGTTCGCTCAATTCACCCTCCCCAATCTCTTAGTTTTTTTAAAAAATAGGGCCTGTCTGCAAAAAAATAAAAATAAATGAAAACAGTTAAATATCTTGGGGGAATTGATGGCTGGAGAATCTGCAGAGCTATAACTCTCATGAATATGAAACAATAAAATATATCCATGGTGACGTTTCAGAGTACTTTCCAACTTGTCTCCAAACTTATTTACATGCATTTTGCCACTCTGTTTTGGCAACACAAACTTACTGAAATATTTCTGATTCAATACAACAATTAAGTAAAATATATACTTATTCCAGTTTATAATATTGTGTTCATCAATTAATTTATGCGGCTGAATTTAGTTAATTTTTCAGTTAAGAATGCATTAGGGCTACATCTCAAGTTCCAAAAGATACACATTAATTTGCATAAATATACATGACTTCTGCATAAGCTACACAACATTTTTAACATGTGGGTCCAACATCTTCAATCTCTGGTTAGTTTTACTATTTCTTGTCTTCCATCTTTCATAATGACCTTCTTCAGGCAAAAGCAAAGGGTTTTTTTTGTTTTTTTTTACTTAACAGGGCAAATAATGCCATCATAATTCCTAAATGGCGACGTAAAGGCTGGGAGGGAATCTAAAACACCAGGGAGGTTACAGTGTGAGACCCAAATACAGCAAACAGTGACTCAGGTCAATCTAATTTTTGATATACTGATATGTTAAAACACTATACAAATAACCCACAGTAAAAATATCTAAAATCTCTGTCCCTTTCTCTTTTTTCCTATTGTGCCCACACACATTCAAGTCAGAATATTTTTGACAAGAATTGGATTGTTCAGGAAATATATATTATTATCTTTTCTTTTTGAATTTGAGCCACTCTCCCATCATCAGCTCACTTAACCATCAACCATGTATAGTATCTAGAATTGAACTGGTGATATTACCTAGTTTGGTAATAAAATGTCTATAAGAAAATGACAAAGCTCAGACAGCACCAAGGACACTACAGTATCTAACAAAGTCTTATAGTGCAATTAGTTAAAGAATAGGGTGTTCGGATAAAAAGATAAATCCACTGGTGTAGTTCAGGAAAGTACAACAAAGAGGCAGGGGAGAGGAAGGAGGAATTAGAAGGAAATTATCATGAGCTCTGAATGCCTTACATCACTGCTTTTCCTAAAACATTATGTTTTAAATAGGTAAAAAATGACTAAAGTATGTATATTAAATACTTGACTTAATTAAAACTCTACATGGCTGCTACTCATTTTTAAAATATATGTTATGGGACGTAGGATTCAAAGAGGATCTAAATAAACATTGTCCCATTACATTTTTAGTAGTTCTAAAAAATCATTGGGTCAACCAAAGCTACATGATGCCTCTAATATTAACTAAATATTTGGTGCTCTAACTCTGAACTTCTTGCATGCAATTGCCTCTTTCCTAGTCTGGTCTGACTACATCAGAACAAAATAATGACAGGCAGCATTTTATTCATCTACTGAGCATTCTTTAGCATTTATATTAATCAATGACAATCTAAATGACCTGATTTCCTCAGCTATTAAGTTTTCTAGATTTCTTATTATGTCCTATAATTCTTTTAACTGAAGATTATTATACTGGAACATTCAAAATGCAGAACAGTTGGCTTATCACTGAGCTGTATTTAGTCATTATCATTGTCATCATCTGCTTTTCCTACAGGATAATTTTAGGGTTGGCTCAAGACAGTTAGGATTGGCCAAAAACCCAAGTGACATCTCCGTTCCAACATCTAAACAGAATAGTTCATGATTTTTACTTCAGAAGTAGAAATGGGAGAGCATTCCTCACACATCTAACTTTTGATTAAATTAAAGGTGTATAGGACACTCAACTCTTGTCTTTCCCAAAGTGCTACTAGACCTCAGGTTAGCTCTTCCTGATTCATTTCAGTGATGTGCCTTGAACATAGTATGTCTATCATATTGTATAATGCATTTGTGTTATGTAATAAGGTTAGTGGTGGGATTCAGCCAGTTCGCACCACTTCGGGAGAACTGGTTGTTAACTTTCTGAGCAGTTTGGCAAACTGGTTTTTGGAAGAAATCATTAGGGCAGAGAACCAGTTGTTAAATTACTTGAATCCCACCACTGAATAAGGTGTATGTTTCAGCCTCTTGGATAAAAAACAAAAGTAAATATGGTAGATTTTCCATTTTCCTCAATCTCTTACAGGTCTAGTATATGATCAAGAAATAATGCTAGAACTCTTCTTAAAATATATTAATAGAAGAGTTGGCAGATATTATTCTGCTGACCTCTGCTTTGGGATCAAGACTGGATGTTTTTTTTCTCAGCATATTTTTGACCCTGCACTATCACCACGAAAACAATATGTGTTTCATTGTGCTAGGAAAGCTGGCAGTACACACCACATTTTAATTGTTGCTACAAGAAATCTGTAATTAGATGACGTTGCAACCTCATTTGGGAGAAGTAAAATTATTAGGCAATTTGCATAGAAGAGGGCAAGGCTGAAAGCCTTATTTCCTTGTTGCATCAAATTTAATGAACACATGAAATAGCTCGTTGCTGGGACTATCTGAGATGATGAAATCCCAGCTGAACATGCTTTTATGTTGCTGTATCTTGAAAAAAACAAGCTCACACATCCAATGTTTTGCTACTTGAACTGGTTCTGAACGCAGGTTCTGTGACAAATAACATTTTATTACAGAGAGTTGGGTATTTTTTAAAAAAACAAAATACCTTATATTTGTGAAATCAATGCCAAAAGTAAGAACGGATTGTCAAAATCCCTTTAGGCAATTCAGGGATTAAGACAGTGTTTTTTAGCCTTGGCAACTTTAACACATATAGATTTCAATTTCCTGAATTCCCCATCTAGCCATGCTGGGTTAAAGTCCATACATCTTAAAGTTTTACCTTAAAGAATTAAGGTAGAACTCTTTCCTGCTTCAAAATTACAGTAGATGTAGATTTGCAATTCCATTCTTTTTTTTCAGAAGTCCCAGCAGGATATTGTGACTTCATGTATATAGTTCTGTTTTCAATTTGGTATCCTATGGCCTAGTGGTGGGTTTCAAACATTTTTATTACCAGTTCTGTGGGCATGGCTTGGTCGGCGTGGCATGGCTTGATTGGCCTGGCTTGGTGGGTGTGGCAGGGGAAAGATACTGTTTAGTTTAGTTTAGTTTAGTTTATTTGATTTGTATACCGCCCTACTCCCGAAGGACTCAGGGCGGTGAACAGCCAACAATAAAATACATAAATACACAAAATTTAAAAACCCGATAAAATCAAATTAAATTATTTGGCCCAGACAAATTAAAATACCCCAATAATTTAAAAACAGATTAAAATTTACATATTTAAAAAGGGAAGAGATCAGGCCAAACCCGCTTGATGGAATAAAAAGGTCTTCAGAGCATGGCGGAAGGAGCGCAGATCTGGGATCCTCCGTATCTCCGGGGGGAGCTCATTCCAGATGGTAGGTGCCCCCACAGAGAAGGCTCTCCCCCTAGGGGCCGCCAGTTGACACTGTTTGGCTGACGGCACCCGGAGGAGTCCCTCTCTATGAGAGCGTACTGGCCGGTGGGAGGCTATTGGTGGTAGTAGGCGGTCCCGTAAATAACCAGGCCCTAAGCCATGGAGCGCTTTAAAGGTGGTAACCAAAACCTTGAAGCGCACCCGGAAGACCACCGGGAGCCAGTGCAGCTCGCGCAGGAGAGGTGTTACATGGGAGCACCATGTCGCTCCCATTACCACCCGCGCGGCCGCACTCTGCGCCAGCTGGAGCCTCCGGGTGCTCCTCAAGGGGAGCCCCATGTAGAGAGCATTACAATAGTCCAGGCGGGAGGTGACGAGGGCATGAGTGACCGTGCGTAACGAGTCCCAATCCAGAAAGGGACGCAACTGGCGAATCAGGCAGACCTGATAAAAAATCCTCCCGGTCACGGCCGTCAAGTGCTCTTCTAAAGACAGCCGTGAATCCAGGAGGACGCCCAAGTTGCGAGCCCTCTCCGTGGGGGCCAATGATTCGCCCCCAATAGTCAGTGATGGCGTCAACTGACTATATCGGGACGTCGGAAACCACAGCCACTCGGTCTTGGATGGGTTGAGCCTGAGCCTGTTCCTCCCCATCCAGATCCGTACGGCCTCCAGGCACCGGGACATCACTTCAAGGGCATCGTTCGGGTGATCCGGGGTGGAGATGTTCAGCTGGGTGTCATCAGCGTACTGATGGTACTCCACCCCGAAACCATGGATGATCTCGCCCAGCGGCTTCACATAAATGTTGAACAGGAGAGGCGAGAGGACCGACCCTTGCGGCACCCCACATATGAGGGGCCTTGGGGTCGACCTCTGTCCCCCTGTCAACACAGACTGCGACCGGTCAGAGAGAAAGGAGGAGAACCACCGCAACACAGTGCCTCCCACCCCTAACTCTTCCAACCGGTGCAGCATGATACCATGGTCGATGGTATCAAAAGCCACTGAGAGATCTAACAGGACCAGGACAGAGGAGCACCCCCTGTCCCGAACCCTCCAGAGATCATCAACCAACGCGACCAATGCCGTTTCCATGCTGTACCCGGGCCTGAAGCCCGACTGGAACGGATCCAGATACGTCGTTTCATCCAGGTGCTGGGGGAGCTGTTGCGCAACCACACTCTCAACAACCTTTGCCACAAAACGAAGGTTGGAGACCGGACGATAATTTACCAACATTGCCGGGTCCAGGGAAGGCTTCTTGAGGAGAGGCCTCACCACCACCTCTTTCAAGGCGGCAGGAAAGACACCCTCACCCAGCGAAGCATTTATAATCCCCTGGAACCAGCCTCGTGTCACCTCCCGAGAAGCCAGCACTAAGCAGGAGGGACACGGGTCCAATAAACAAGTGGTCGTGTTCAGTCTACCCAGAATCCTGTCCACGTCCTCAGGGGTCACAGGATCAAACTCATCCCAGATAACATTCTCAAGACCTGCCCTCCCCCTGAGACTATCCAGTCGGAGTCCAGATCTTCCCAAATCTGAGCGATTTTGTCATACAGATATTGAACAAAATCCTCGGCTCTACCCTCCAAGGGGTCCTCCCGCGCTTCCTGGTGGAACAGGGAGCGGGTCACCCTAAACAGGGCGGCCGGGCAATTATCTGATGACGCAATAAGAGCAGCAAAATAGCTACATATCGCTGCTTTTATTGCCACTAG